TATATATAAATATATTTTGCAAAAAAAAGCTTTTACTGGCATTAGAGGCAGTAATAGACGAGTGAAATAACAACAAAAAACAATTTTCATTTCATCCATACATACAATTTCAATATAAATATAGTATATAGTATATACTAAAATATATACTAAAAATTTATCTTTTTATCTAAATTTTACACTTATATAAACTTATATAAAAGCAAAAAGATCATTATGTAATATATATTTCTAATTAAATTATGAGAAAAATATTTAATTACCCCATTGAATAGGACATATTCTTTTATAAACATATTTCATTTTATTCAATAACATTTCATCTAATTTCTATAACAATATTTTATAATATATTATTTATAATAATTTAATGCATTCCCGCTTAAAGACCACATAATTTAAATCTTTAGTTTGAATCTAATATTGAATATGAATTTTTGATTCTAAAAACAAATCTATTATATTTTCAATTACCAGCATAAATAAATACTAATAGTCCTACAGTAGTTGCTCGTATATATAATACTTTATAAGGTACATATAAATTAATTATCGTTTTAATTATGGCTTCATTTTGATATCTTAATAAATAATTTTGATATTAAATAATAATAAAAATATTGTAATTAAACTTAGGAAATGTAAAAAGTAAGATATAGATATACAGTATATTTTTAAGTAAATGTTATAAAATAATTGTAAATTTATATACTTAAAATAACTTAAAATGTATTTCAGCATTATGTATTTATTATTGGCTATAAATTATAGCTAATTGATCATGATTACATTAAGTACAATACATATCTAAAAATAAATGCAAAAACATAATTAAAACGTCTTAAAATTCATTATTCTTTTAATGGCAAATGTCTTATATTATAAAAGTTTTATAATAAAAACATATTGCATAAATTTATATAAACACATGGTAACAAGATGTATGGGCAATTACCAAACACAAAATCCGCCTTAAATTAAGTTTTCTAAATTGAAAAATATTTACTTTGTTTTTTAGTTCACATAATTTAGATAAATGAGAAAAGGGTTTATATGTTTTGCAATATATATTGTTTAATATAATCAACATTTTAAACGTAAGATTAATTCTTTCCGCCGCTAAATCTTATTTTGACTATAAATTTAAATGCATTATATATATTGTTGTGTATATTATTTTAATTATGTAAACCAATCTATCACATATATTTACCATTTATTTATATAAACATTTTAACGCATTGACTAAAAAGTTTGTTATGAAATTTTTATTTATATTTTCCAAAACTTAAAAGTCTTTATCAATAAATCACAGAATATTCTTAATATTAAACCCAACTATTTTGTGCACATTTATTCTTTTGTATTAGTGATCGAAAAATTCTAATTTTTGAGTGCCGTTGCCGTACCAGTGCCGCTTTAATTCACGGCCCTTAGTGCCGGTGCCGGTGCCGCCTAAGTGCCGTTAGTGCCGGTGGTGCCGGTAGTGCCGGTAGTACCGGTGGTGTCGGTGCCGATAGAGCCTGTGCAGACATGTTATTTGTCACATTTACAGGTATAAAACATGCAATTTCGCCGTGTTTGTATAACTATTTAAAATAACAACACATTTAAATAAAATAATGTAATTTTTGAATTAATTTTAATTAGAAATGCTAAAATATCCAAAATTAAACGGTGGCGGTTCAGTGCCGGTCAGTGCCGGTACAGTAAGAACTGGTGCCGGTGCCGTTCCAGTGCCGCGGCACCGGCACCACGGCACTGAGTGCCGGTGCCAGTACCTCGGCACCGGCACCAACATTTCGATCACTAGTTCTCATAAAAACAGTACGTATTTATATCGAGCAAATGTCACAATATTGTAGTAATTTCAATAATTTTTCTAATAAACTACATTTAATTAATTAAACACACATCAATTGCAGAATATGTAAATATTAATGTTATTATCTAATTATTATTATTATTTAATTAGGAAATATAACTTAAAAGAAAAACTCTTATAACTTTAGTTCAAATAGCCTAGCCCATTTTTATTGGTATGAACATGTTCAATACGGTTCATAGATTAATTTTCAGTCGAGATAATCGGCAAATGACCAGGAATGACCAAATTATAGACAAAATTCAAAATAAATACATAAAATTCAATTGAATTTACGCAAAGTTAAAGGTATTGAAAAGTTTTAATGAATGGTAAATCACACGTATTACAAATTATTTACCACAAGTCCATGCATTAGATGAACTAAATATGACCTTGTTACGCCTATATGCCAAACACACGGCACCATTCAACACGCAAAACTTCTAGGTACTGATACTCGACCGGTAGTTTATCGGAACCATTTTTGCGCACGGTTATTTGGTGCTCAATAGCCCAATTAATCTTATTGACAAAATCATCTAGCCATCCGCCCATACAAATTTTTACCCGGGGCTCATTATTTGCAGTAATAGACCGGTGGGTCTGGTACATAATGTTCATCGACTTGGTTATGGCCACTTTAAAACCTGGCAAATGGTGCCCGGAGTCGGCACCAGGAGTATCGGTAAGCGTAGCGCGTATGAACTTGGCCATTTTTATAAACGCAATTTGTTTATCGTTTACCCAATCATTGTAAGCCTGCTCGGCGTCGGAATGATCATGAACATTTTCCAAATTGTTCAAGATTAAAAACCCACCTTTGGAGCTTAGTAGGTCAACAAAATCTGCGAGGTCAGTTCTGAAAATGTAGGCAAAATTATCATGCTCGTCGATCACCTGCCGATAGGCTTGTGCCAGATGTACAGCGCAATCCCGCCAGTCATTGGTGAACGGACCGGCGAGTGCCTCATATAGACCATGCGCCTTGAAACAATCAACCAGGTTCAATATTGTATCTATGGTGTTTATGTTTAACGAGCGGTTTAGTTAATTTTTTAAAATTTGATATTTGTCAATTAAGATTTTAATTTACTTGATTCGCAGCCATGACCCGTGCACAAAGTAAATAAACTTATTAAATAAACTATTATTTTAACAACTTTAAACATGCTAATTATTAGTAATAATATTTATTTTAATTGATGTATAAATAGTTGCCGTATTTATAAAATATGGATTTGACTTATTTAAATGTTTTATTCACTATAAAACTGTCAAATAATATTTAATTTATTGGTATTATTGTATATTCCGTAAAATGTAAATGTGACCATATTTATTTAATACATTTACCGCATACATAGTTGCCTTATGAATTTAGTTATAACTGTCAAGCTAACAATCATTTATTCACAGTAATTCACAGTAATCTATAGAATTGACCTGGGCATCCATCACTTTTTTTAGGTGCCGGAATGTGACTATGCCTATCATGTAGAGCATAAAAAAGTAGAATAGGAATGTAATATCAAGAAAAAAATTTATAATTCACAGTAATCTATAGAATTGACCTGGGCATCCATCACTTTTTTTAGGTGCCGGAATGTGACTATGCCTATCATGTAGAGCATAAAAAAGTAGAATAGGAATGTAATATCAAGAAAAAAATTTATGTCGGAACTTCCGAGATAATGGCCAAAACAAAAAACCCTCCCCCATATACTCTCCCATAGAAAAAATAAAAAATTCAAAAATTGCGCTCAAATTTGGTGAAATGCTTGCATTGATTACCGGCGCGGGGTTTAACTTTCAATTTTTAAAATAATGGCCGACAGATTACTGTTGCGTCGATTGTACACTTGTTTAAACATAAAGTAATGTATACAATAAATTGCGAGAATAGTAAAGGTAAATAATCAGAGATTACATGTAAATGGTGAACGTCCATGGTTAGTTTATATGACCGATCGGCAAAAATATATATGTGCTGATTAGTTCAGCAATTATTTTATATTACTTTGTATATAAGTTTTTGACTAAACCACACAAACTGTAACGGATTTTTTAGCCAATTGCACCGAATTACTCAATACAGTTTTTGTGTTGCATCATTACCTCGGTTGAAATATTATATTCTATGTATTTTATGTACCTCATTGTTTTATAGATAATTATTTAACTGGAAATAGATGCGTAAATATGTTCATCTAATGATAAAGTATTTTTACCCTTTAATTCCATATAGATAATATAACTTCTAAGAATATAAGTTACTAAAACAAAGTGAGATTAATACATAGATTGTATACTAGGGCAATTTTCATACAGACACAAAACGTTTATTATTATTGTAAAGCCTAGTGTCGTAATAAAACCACTTGTTTTTATGTATTATGTATGTCGGTATGTAAAGTGCATTGGACATGTGTACTTGGAACAATAATCTTACACATTATACTTACAATTTATAGTCACGTAAACATAATACATAAATGGCCAAATATTAATTGTCATGATAAAAATGTAACTCTAATACAGTAGAAGCCAGGTTATCAGTTGGTGCCAAATTAAATCTGTGCTCTCTTATTAAATGATCCGGGATGGTGACACGAATATCATATAAACCGTAAATCAATTAAGGTGAAATATTTTTAGACAACATAAAAATGTTAAGCTTATTAACTAATGGTGAAATTTAAAAAAATAATCTTTTGTTGATAATTAATTCTATTTATTTGCAGCTACATCCAAATTACTTTACCTATAAATAATCATGTTTGACTTTAATATTTAAATGTTAGATAAAACTATTTTATTAACTTATTATTAATTACTATTGCTATTAATCAATATAATAATGCTGCTCAAGTCAACTATAATTGCAGTGTTTATAATTAATATAAAATTAATTTATAGCAAAAACATTCCTGTTCAACCGGTTACAAATGTAACACATAACAAATATGTTCTCGGTCATGGTAATTATATGAAGTTTATATCATTATTAGTCTTATAGCCTTAAGTGCAATTATTACAAAGTTACTTGCTATGTATTATATACTGTATATTTATATAATTATTATAGATACATATTGTAGGTACATATTGTGTATATTAATGTATATAAATATAATTACCGTATTGTACTTTTATATTTTAGTTATATATGGCCACAATGTAGTGTCTGAAGAGCTGGTAACCGAATACAGTAACCCCTCTTTCCCTGAACGGGACACCCGTCCCGATACATATACACTGCGCATTGTTGTGACCGATCTGGAAGTGTCTCAATTGAGGCTAGATTTCACCCATATGGAACTTGGTCAACCAAATGTCGATGGTCATTGTCTGGGCGATACATTGAGCGTGGCTATAGTGGAGGACAACGGGTCAACCTTGTCGGCTGTGCCCACACTCTGCGGTCACAATGATCGACAACACAGTAAGCTGATAAATAAAATTTCTATCTATCTCAATTAAATTATACATGGTGAAATAAGTAATTGTGTAACGCCTTGATTCAAAAATAAAGTTTAAAATCATTTATTATTTATTTTAAAATATATTTAGTTTAAGCAAAATAATGTAATGAATATATTGTAACGTATTTCATTGTAGTATACGTGGAAATTGCACCTGGTCAAAGTAGTAATACTAAACGCTTCGTAGATGTAGTGATTGACACGACACCTGAGAGTGAATACCGATGGCATATAATAGTCACACAGATTACCCGTGTGTCAAGTCATTTAGCGGCTCCAACCGGTTGCTTACAGGTAATATAAACTAACCTAGTCCTATTAAGATATTGCTAACTAATAATGTGTCATATTTTACAAAAACAAATAGTATTTCACCTTGCCCAGCGGACAACTTCAAAGTTTCAACTACGGCCACCAATACATAAGTAACATGGATTACGCACCTATTAAGATATTGCTAACTAATAATGTGTCATATTTTACAAAAACAAATAGTATTTCACCTTGCCCAGCGGACAACTTCAAAGTTTCAACTACGGCCACCAATACATAAGTAACATGGATTACGCAATATGCATACAAAGGAAACAAAAAACGTGCCGGGTCATCTACAGCGCCGACCAGGATGAATTTTCACTAGACAGTACCCAAGTAGACCGATCGAGGTCGGGTGTGGGCGACAACAATTGCGACAACGACTACCTGGCTATAGAGGGTGGTTCGCAATATGGCAACATTCCCACTCATGATCGTTATTGCGGGGGTAGTCTAAATAGTGAGCCTGATCTAATTATGGGGGCGCCAGTTGTGTCAAAAGCAAAGGGACCAATACTCTTACGTTTTCACTCAGATAAGTTTGTAATTGACAGGGAGCATAATACCGGGTTCCGGGTCCGGTACGAACAAAGTTCCTTGGACTGTAACCATGTTCCTATCTTTTACTTGTTACATTAATTTGTTTAATTTATTGGTATTTCTAAAAAAATTTCTGAGAATTTGCTCTATATAAAATAAATCAATTTTGATTAAAACATAATTTCCATGTGCATTTAACAAAAATAATTTTAAAAATCTTTATTTAAAATAAAATAATTTTTTTAATTATCATAAAATAATTTGATAAAACAATATTATAAAATTGTAATAAAATTATAATTCAGTAATAAATATATGCTACTATAAATAATATATTAAACTACCCTATTTTTTATCAACAGTTGTATATTTACGTATTTAATATCAATGATGATAGTATTGAGATCTAGATAAAACAAACAAAGATAAAATTACTAATTAGCAATTTAATAAAATTTTTAACGTATACTAATTGCGGAATTATATACCAAAATTAATTATAGTGCAAACTGTTGCTTAACGATAACCAAAGTAGTCCATTATATAACCGCCAACTATTGGTCCGCAAGCGGTGCTAATAATACAAACATAATAAATAATTATTAGTTGTTTTAATTAAAATATATAATATATAAATATTTAAATATTAAAATTAATAGTTATACTGTATTAATATTTTGACAGCAATCATTGTTTATGAACCCACAATAACATTGCTATCTTATAGATATAGCGTTGTAAAAATTGTTAATAGGGATGCGATAATAATCACATTTTAATTACATAAAAAATTACAATTATAACCATCATTAATTAGTCAGTGTCTGTAAACCGCTTCATTTAATATTGAATATATAAATTTTTCATAAACTAAGTTTAAAATAAAAGTGCAGTTAAAGGAGAATATAATGTTTTTAATAACTATGGTGAAGTGTTGTCAACTAAATTAACATTCATTAACAACACATTTTGAACTAGTTAAAATTTAACCTGCTAAACTGCTTTGTTGAAATTAATACCTTGTCAATTTATTAATCGGATTGAGCATAATCAAGTGTTGCCCAAATGGTTGTCTAGGCGGATCGTAAACTTCGAAACCTACAACGGGGTGTTTATGTCTGCTGTGCGCTATCACTGATCGCTACTGTTGTATTGCTGGTCATCATATTGATCATAAACATGGCAGCAGGTAATAATTCGTACTATGATAAGTGGTTTGTAAGTAATATTCTTTATAATTAAAACTAGATTTTTATAAATATTAGTTCTAGTTATAATGTAACAAATAACACAAGACAGCTGTGTAAATAAAAAAAATTGTCCAGGTTGTTGTCTGATTTGAGCTAATCTAAAAACTAACCTTATCACCTTGTTTAACGATGTAGGTCACGAGCAGGGAGTTTATCATATCAATCGCTGTCATATCAATAGTCACACAATTTCTGGGCATTTATTCGGCCGCTAAACAAAGCTACATAACAGCCCTGGCCTACAGTATAATCTGCTCGTTATTGGCCGGAGTGACACTCGCTTACGCTATACTATACAATGTTTTAGCCTGGATTTTAGTGGTCATACTGTTTGCATGCGTTCCCATCGCTTCCCTATACACTAAACACATAAGGGTGTTAAAGAAACGGGCACTCAATGCCACAAATGTGGCCATATATGGTGATCACCAAAATATCATGTTGGAAATGCCATTAACTGATCAACAAATCAACTATCCTATACATAATGGTGGACAACCTAGCTATATAGTATCTGGCCAACCAGGTCAAATGCATATTACCGGTGCCCTTCCCAATTCTGTCGGTCCCTATCAATCCCAGCCCTATGGTTACCCACAAACGCCGACAAACCCCTCGTACACTGAGCCGATGGCCCAACCGCCCGGTTATAGTCAATCACAGGTGACTCCCGACGCCTGTGGGTCAACGTTTAGCGCACCCGACGCTCAAAACATTGCCGCAACTGTTAAACAGCATAAAACAATGCCAGCGGTCCCAATATGGCACACATAAATACATTATCATGTGGTCATAATTATGTTTTTCAAATAAAAATTCATGTGATATTTTTTTATGTGCAATTAATTTAATGGTAGATTTACCGTTATATACATTGCTAATAGGGATGCGATAATAATCACATTTTTATTGCATATTAAAATTACAAATTACATGAAAATATTGAATTAAATTAAGACTATTAAGTAATTATAACCATCATTAATTAGTCAGAGTCTGTAAACTGCTTTAAACATATTTAATATAAATTTTTCCATTATTTGTCTTAAGTAAAAGTGCAGTTAAAGGAGAATATAAAGTTTTTAATATCTATGGTGAAGTGTTGTCACCTAAATTGACATTAATTAGTTGAATTATTGTCAAATATTAAACTTATTAAAATTGACCTTGCTAAACTGCTTTTGTAAAATTAATACATTGTCAATTTATTGTTCGGGTAGAGGATAATCACCTATTCCCAAAATGGTTGTCCAGCCAAACCGTAAACTTCTGTGCCTACAACGGGGCGTTTATGCCTGCTGTGCACTATCACTGATTGCTACTATTGTATTGCTGGTAATTATATTGATCATGCTCTATGCAGAAAGCGATTATTACTTTGATAATTGGTTGTAAGTAATATTCTTTATAATTAAAACTAGATTTTTATAATTATTATTTCTAGTTTTAACTAGCCATCAGCCCAGTCCACAAAATCTGTTATTTTTTTATTTTCCCATTCTATCCCCCTCTATAGTTTCATTACCTCCCACCCCCTATTGTATGTTACGCTTTTTTCGCGCGTCCCATTCATGCACTCTGAATAGTATATTAGATATAATAACTAACACAGACAGTTGTTTAAATAAAATTTATCCAGGTTGTCGTGTGGTTTAAGGATAATTTCATAAAAGCTAAACTGAAAACTAAACTTGTTTAATCATTTTGTTTAATAATTTAGAACACGTCCAGAAATTTCATCATATCAATTTCTGTCATATCAATTTTGACTCAATTCCTTGGTATATACTCGGCTTGTAAACTAAGTTATTGTACAGCCGTGGCTTACAGTATTATCAGCTCGTTATTGACTATAGTGACCATCGCTTTCGCTATACTATACCATGTTGTGGGTATTTTAGTGGTCGCACTGTTTGTCAGCGTTTGCGTCGCTTCCGTATACGCCAAACACATCCGGGCGACGAGCAAACGGGCACTAACTAGTAATGTGGCCATATATGGTGGTCAGCAAAATATCATGTTTCAAATGCCTATTAATGGCCAACAAACCAACTATCCTGCGCATAATGGAGGACAACCTAATTATATAGTATCTGGTCAACCAGGTCAAATGAATATTACCAGCGCACTTCCCAATTCTGTCGCTCCCTATCAATCCCAGTCCTATGTTTGTCCACAAACACCGACAAACCCCTCGTACACTGAGCCGACGCTACAACCGCCCGGTTATAGTCAATCACATGTGACTCCCGACGCCAGTGGGTCGGCCTATAGCGCACCCGACGCTCAAAACATTGCCGCAACTGTAGAACAGCATAAAACAGTTCAAGTGGCCCCGGTATGGCACACATAAATACTGCACTATTATAATAATTATTGTGTTTTTAAAATAAAAATTCATAAGATATTATTTTATGTGCAATTAATATACTGACAATGATAACAGAAAATACAGTTATCAGTACATATAAAATATAATGTAATTATATTTTTTACCAGTGGTGACTAATGTGACATTAGTAATGTCGTATAATTTAATGTAATTATTATTAAACATGTTAATTTATCTTTCTATACAAATTACTTTTAATTTAATAGATCTGTATTATTTTCACATTTTAACATGATGCTAATCAACTTATGTTCTGTTAATAAATTATTAATATTACAATGAACGTGTAATTTTTAATTAAATGTGACAAAATAATTTTAAAAATCTTTATTAAAATAAAATAATTTGATAAAACAAATATTATAAAGCTGTAATAAAATTATAATTTAATAATATATATATGCTACTATACATAACACATTAAACTACCCTAGTTTCATCCACTTTTGTATATTTACGTATTAATATCAGTGATGATAATATTGAGATCTAGATAAAACAAATAAAAAATAAAGTTATTTGCAATTTAATGAAGCTTTTAACGTATACTAATTGCTAAATTATATACCAAGATTAATTGTAGTGCAAACACGGGAATTGTTGCCCAACGATAGCCAAAGTAGTCCATTATATACCCGCCGACTATTGGTCCGCAAGCGGTGCTAACAATACAAACATAATAAATAATGATTAGTTAATTTAATTATATTGGAACATAAAATAATCAGGCTTATTAAATTAAGTTATATATGCTATATATGCTAACCCTAATGCTTCGGATGTGGCAAACATTCCCGATATAAACCCGATTGTGGACTGACTTTCTGGAAATCCGTGTCTACTGTAATGTTTAACAACAATTATTACTTATCAACATGTTCAATTATTTTATTATATCAGCTAATAATTAATAAATAATGATAAATATACAGGGTGTATAATATACTCAGTACTATTTTATAACTTATATTCAACAAAAAATTTAGCATTGATTAAAAGTATTTTTCTTTTCAGTTAGTAACTGAAATTAATTGGCATTAATTCAATATTAATTCATAATAAATTAAATTTGGATTAACGGGCGTTTAGCTAATCAGGAGACATTTTATTAAAAATTTTCACA